ATACATGAAATTTTCATCGAATGTTTATATAAGTATATTCTATCTACCATGCAATTTTCAAAACATTCGGACTTAAGTTTAACTATTTGAAGGCATATGCAATTTTCGATAATTATTAGTTTTTTTATCAAATTAATATCGACAAAAATGTATTTGTTTGGGTGGAAAAGCTTGAAAATTTAATACAAGGCTTTTAACATATTGTTACAATAGCAGTTGAAAATTAAAAGAAATACATAATCACAATTTTTTTATAAGCATTCAAAGTTTGAGTTTTGATAAAATACGTAAAAATCACGTAAATTCGTAAATTATTTTAAGCTAAAAATTCATAAAAAAAAATTTTTAAATTTAATACAACATTTCTTACAARTTTGTTAATCTTTATCATAAAAAAAACATCCACCAGAAAGTCGAATTAAGTTTTTATGAGCGTTTGAAATTTATATTTTTACAACATTGGATTTTCACTAGATTTCTCATTTAGCGATTTTCTTATTTTGATGTAACTTTAAAACAAATGACCGCAAATACTTGAAATTTTCTCTAAATGTTTAATTAATATATAGGTATTTTCTATATTTGATAAAATTTTAAAAATATTTTGTTTAGTTTTGAGCTGTTTACTGACATTTTAATTTTTCAAATTTATAGTTCTTTTTTCTATCAATGTCAATACAATTTTATTGGTTAAGTCAAAAAGCTTCAAAATTTAATATAAGGCTTTCAACATATTATTTCAATAGCAGTTGAAAAAATATTAAAAATACATCGACACAATTTTTTTTATAAGCATTTAAAGTTAAAATTTTGACTAAATATATAAAAATTACGACAATGTTCAAGTTATCTTAGATAGAAATTCATAAAAATTTTTCTTTTTAAATCTAAGATTTGAAAATTTAATTTGAAATTCCTTATAAGTTTGTCTACATTTATCAAAAACAAAAAATTCTACCGGAGAGTCAAATATTTTAATAAGTATTAATAATAATCCATAATATATCCTAGACAGATAAACCGTCTCCGCTCAGAATCGTTTTTTCGTATACAATGATATAATATAATTGGATTCAAATTTAATTCCATMGATTATACTCGTAGTAACCCACTTGTAACCTACTGTACAGAAGAGCGACATTCACGACTTACCATCTTTAAAAAAAAAAGCGGGTAAGTCGTGGATGTCGCTCTGCTGTACGGTAGGTTACTGTAATGGATGGGATTAAATTTGAATGCAATGATAGGTATCATTGTATACGAAAAACGATTCTGAACCGAGATGATTTTGTCAGTCTAGGATATATTATACTTAAATACTGTCATATACTCTATTTTGAAACAAATATTTTATTTTTCAATTAAGACGCATTTTGCACAAGGCACGGTTAATCAACTTTTCCAAAAACATTGCATGTAGTTATCATAATTCATAATACCTTATAATATCATAAATATAGATATACCTGGTTTGAGGATAAATCGTTATCATTACGCGATTTCATAAAATCCCTTATTTATTTATCCCGATTATTTAGAAAAATTATTATGACCCCCAAAGTACCAAAAAGATTCACTTTTTGATTGAATAAGGTACTGAAGTMAAAAATCGAAGCACTTTTACTGCCCCAAAACGTGATGAGAGACACAAAAAAATTCATGGTTTTGACGAATTTATGTCAATATTTGAACTTCAAAT